CTTGGAGATTTAAAGATATTAAAAGTCCTGACTTGTTCCTTGAAAAGTTTTAAAAAGTTTATTGAAGGAGAGACAAAAGTTCAGGAAGCATACGATGTAAAACTAAAATTTTTTAAAATGAAAATTTTTTGTTTATGTTAATTTATTAGTAAATTTTCTTATGACATTTGCAGATTAAATAATAAAAAAAGCCGTAAAACTTACTAAATATTTACAAATAATAAAAAAAGAATAGAAGAATGAATATTAAATTCCCTTTTGCTGTCAAAAACGAGATCTGATTAAATTAGAAGCACCACATATTATCTTAAAAAAATATTTTTTTTCTTTTCTTATTCTCTTCTGGCTTCCTAATAAAATATGACCTTAATAATGCTTATAACTGTGCAAAGAAATTTATGAATTTTTAAAGAATTTGTTTAGAGCCACCAAGATCTCGGCTGTGCCGTCACAATCACAGATCAAATAAACTGAGTAGAGAACACATATTACCACAGACCTTCAGAAACGTCTACACTGTAAGCATTGATAGTTTGCCTCTGACCTACTGACACGCAAATTTAGTAGTCAGTAACCTATAAGCATGAAAGGTGACTGCCATCAGGCATACTATCTTGAAAACCGTCAGACAAACGAGATGTCATTTTGTTTATAAATGGGTTCCCCACAATTGGTTATCGTTTTGTTATTGAAAAGTACTTACAAAGAACATCTCGACCGAACTACTTTTCATTATTTCTTTATTGTGAAGCACAGCGAAGCTAATAAAGGATTCTAGCTGTTTAATTACAGCTTATGCTCTTTTTTACAGACGTATTGCAAGACAAAGCCTTTTGAGCTAAATAACTACGTCACCTACAACATCATTTTAGTAGCTCAACTTCGTCAGGAAGGAATTTTTCCAGTGTGCTGCTTCGTTGAGACTGGTCACGAAAAGTGAAAAAAAAGACGGATATCGACATGCGAAAGGAAAAATAGTATTTATTTCGTTTTCAAAGCAGCATTTTTTTCTTTTCTGTAAGTGACATCAGCTACTAAGTCTGAGCTTGAATAATCTCATCTATCTTCTTTATTTTTTTAAAATAAATGCTATTTTCATTTCTTCTGCAATCTTCAAAATTATTACTTCATATTAATTGACGTACAATGATGTGTGACTGTAACAAATGGTTATACATTTCTTCATCTTTTTTTTTCTTTTTTTCATATCAACCAGTTCCCTTTCAGATTTGCATCCAGAACTAAAAGTATAAAAGATTTAAAACAAATGCTTTACTGGCACAAAGAAAGAAAATTTCAAAACTTTTTCGATTGAATTCGACTGCTGCTGTTTTTTAGGCAATGGAAGACATAACGCTGAAAACATCTGAATTCAACGGCGTAATGAAGCTTGTTCGACCTATCTAAACCACCAGTATACATGTGCCGGTCGCTCAAAAGCATCTGCATACGGTAAATACTGTCCAGTTAGGTCCTCATAGGCTGGTAATTCTAGTGATGTTGTAGCCGCGCGTTTAGCCGGACGAAGGCCCCAACGGCCATTCGCTAAAGACCGCTGAAAAAAAGTGTTATTAGAATATGAACTTTATAAATAACTGAAATTTCACAGAAAAAAACTTCTCATATAGTCAGCTGAAATAATCTTTCGGTCTCTGCATCAAAGATGAAGATCAAGAAAATGATTATAGATTTAAGCCAAGTTTTGGTACTGAAATAGCTGCAGCTTGTGAGCCAGAGTTTGGTGTACTTCTGTTTGTAAAACATAGAAGATAGTTTTGCAAGAAAAGCAAGCACTTTTTTTGTGAGCGGACTTAAGAATTTGATGTCTGCTGGAATGGCGTAAACTCAAAATTAATCACGCAATATTCCGTCGAGGTTATTTAGCAAACACTGTCCTTTCCTTCATTTTTTTTTTTCACTGTTTCTCCTGTCGACAAGTTGACAATATTATCATGGAAAAATTGTCCTATAGACCTCCTTGGTTAATAAAATTTCCGAGGGCGAAATAGAAAGATGATTAATTAGTAAATCAAAAATCCGCTGTAGATGAAATCAATTTCTCGCCCACTTTCGTATTTTTAGTATCATGAAAAGTGCTCAAGGAAAAAAACAGAAAAGATCTATCTGTCAAATGGGGAAACGAAAGAGAAATATGGAACCAGTATGATTTAAACTCATTCATATAAGGAAACAGAAATGGGAAACTAAGCTCGCTTTTTCTTGGAGCATAGCCTCCATAACTTTCTTGCAATGTATAGCATGTAAAACTACCTCAGTTCAATTGAAAACAAGCTTAAAAGCAAGAGAAATAAGTCAGTGACAATTAGAAGCAAAGGTTGCAGCCAAAAAGCAAATGAAAAGAAAAAAAATTCGGAGAATGGCCTGTAGTGATCCAATCCGCCGTATTCTCTTTTCCAGTTTATTCGTCTATTAAGACTGTCCTAATAATTTGTAAAGTGTTCGTAAAAAAGTCCTAATAATTTGTAAAATGTTCGTAAAAACTAAAACCCATTAAAAAGCTAAAAGCTAAGAAAGATTCCCTGCTTTCATTAAATCACAAAATGAAATAAATCACAATTTCTTAGCTTCTATAATATTTAATCAATTTGTTGCCAATTTTTGTTTTGAAAGTTTACTTCTTTAAAAGAAAATAAACGAAAGTTCAGTATTTAAGTTTCTAAATAAAAAAAGAACCAAACAGACGAGGTGCAGAGGCATAAGAAGAAAGTAAGAAACTAAAAAAAACTGCAAATCCACGTGACGAGTTGGAGAAAAGTCCTGGTAAGTTTAGCTTTCATCGTGGTCGTTACTCTAAGAAACTTTCAACGGTATATAATCGTTTTCTCGTTAACTTTCAAAAAAAAAAACGAATTCTTATCTGTTTCCTAACAAATCATAGTCCAAAACTTTTTTGCACCGTGAACTTCTCATCGACTGTTCTTGGGCAATGCTAACAAGACAAAGAAGAATAAAGACTTTCTGAATTTGACTAGTAACTTGGCAAAAAAGATAAATCACTGAGTTGCTGGTACCGTCATAACGCCACTAAAATGCACTGTCAGAATGTCTGGTCATGCAGAGCCTTTGGAAAAAGATTCGTCAACAATCGCTCCTAAACCGTTCACAGAAACTTTACCGATCATTTAACTTTAACGTAATGTTACTTAGCTGAATGCTATGTTCAGTACATAATTCGTCCGACTAATTATTTTTCAAACTACCAAATGACCTTCTGTCTTGTTAATATTCCCTTCTTACTGTAAAACAAAAGAAAGTAAGCGCAAAAAGAATTAGATTTTTTTCGCCTTTCCCGTGTTCATGTTGACACAAAATTAATTTGAAAAAACTTAAAGAAGGACCTTCTTTTTCATTCAATTTCAAAAGCAAACATAATCAGATAAAACTTCAAGAAATAAAAAATATATTCAAGATAAAACTAATAAAAAAGAAACTGTTCGTCCTGACCCACAAATCTTCAATAGCCCCGACATTTCGTTGCTGTTCCTGCCTGTTTTTAAAAACTCCAATGTTTTCCCATTCAATGAATACAATTAATGAATATGATGCAGTCTGTTGCTGTTTACATCATTATTTGAAACTGCCTTATTGAAGTAGCTGACTGCTAAGTATTGAAAACTGGGATATGAAACGCTGGGAAGAAAGTAATAAATAAACTTCCCTTCTGAATCGGTACGCTGCAAAAGTAAGAACGTCAGCTTATTTTACAGGAAACTACAAAGAGGCAGAAAAAAATAACACTTCAGCATTTACCTTTGTAAAGTCTTCCTTTGAGCCTTCTCGGGATGGCGCTGCTTGATTAAGAAGGCAAAACGAGCTGACCAGAAGCAGGAATGCAAAGCTGAAGTACATGACGAGATGGGGCAAAACAACAGTCTACCACTGATAGTGCTGCCTGGATGATTTCAACTTTTAGACATTGAGGTTCTGCCATTAGTGGCGCCGCTTAAAAGGCACGATACTCACCCCATCGCCACCACAAAAACAATGGTTTCGCCCCACCAAACGACTCCGCCCTAAAGTCATCACTGTTTTGCTTGCTCGCAACTTTGCCAACTACGACATCCGACAATTCTAATATGGCGACGAAAACAGCAGAAAAAAAAATGTTCTGCCAGGAACAAAAGAAGGGGACATAAGGAAAAAAGATGGAAGGCTGGTAACGAAGATGTAAAAAAGGTACTAATGATAATTTGAATGTAATTAGTTGCCCATTGTTGTACGGGATTGTTATACTCTAGGCATACCAAAAAGAGCATTCAAAATGAGTGACGTTAGATTAAAAGTAGAGCTCGGGGGAGAGGACGGAAGAAGGAAAGGTGGAGAGTGCAGGATTCAGGGTAGAAATAAATTTGAAAAAAGCACATACTTTGCCAAACTTGCTTAGAAAGACGTAAAAGAAACATTTTCTTGGATTTTTACTGCTCATCTGTTTCCTTCAATAATTATTTTTTAATGGTTGTAGTGAAAGAATTCTGCTAGATCCCTCCGCAATAGCTTCGCCTTTCATGCCCTCCAAAAATGAAATGAAAATAATGCTTTGCCACTCCAAATGTTCAAAATTTTTCAATTTATCAATTCTGAACAATTTTTGTTTTTTTGAGCGGTTTCGCTTTCAAAAGCTATAAGTCTCAAAGTGGACGACGTCAGCTATTTTTCATGAAAGAAGAGACAAGAATTAAAGTCCAAGTCCAAAAAAAAAAATTACTTGCAGTAACAGCTTACAGTACAGTTGAAAATGTGGCTGAAATTATACAAATGTCCAAATAAGAAAATGCATATAAAGAAGAGTTCATCAATAATGGAAAAAAACTAAGGTATGCCAATGTATGCAAGAATTTGCTTTGAGATGATGATTAGAACCTGTAACAACGACAGTGTAAGATATAACTTCAGGAAGGCATCATCAACGTCTCCGCAGCAGCTTTCTGATCATATTTTCATTACCCAATCCTGTCATGATGTCCTCAACCAAAAAATTGTTAGTCGATTTGTACGCGAAATGAATCGCCAACGGCACTTGATGAGTTTTTCGAGAAACCTCCATAATTCTTCTGGTGACCAAAATAGTCAGGTTCTTGCATAGCTTGATAACTACATGAAAAATACGAAGGAATTTAACCCCACGTAAATGTCACCGTACGCTGCACCTTTGTCTCTTGCCAAAAACTTCAAATCCTTTTCCACTTCCAATTGATGAGCACTGAATTGGATATCATTGAGATTTTTGGGGGGACCTTCCTTTAAAATTAAAAAGTCCACTAATCAATGACCATTCTTGAAGGATTAATGACTTCTCGCTACTGGTAACCAGTGCAGCCGGACAAACTACACCCAGTCTTTAAATTCTCAAAAATGATTTAAAAAACCAACCCTGACTCTAACGCCAGACATAACGAGGTTACCTGTATCAAACGACCCACCCCGTTACTTTCCCAGCAACGAATGCTGGAAACGCTACTGAAATTGCCAGCTGTCAACTACAAGCAAAAGTTAAGGAAACTACAATCAAGAAATGATAACCATCAATGAAAGCTAGCTTTTTTTGTCCAACACCTTGACATCTAGAACAACCAAAACTGATAGGCCCTTTTTGTCATACCACGTCCTCGAATAAACAAGAAAAAAACTAATTTGTAAACCTTCCGTATCTACCTTAGAAACTATTCACCGTTGTACCGCTCGTTTGGAAAATAACTATTTATTCAATGCACAACTTGAAAACTTAAAACTACCCTAACCTGTTTTCAGCAAACCAGAAATGAAGAAAGTGATCTACAAATGGTAATAGGAAGTAATTACAAATAAAAACCATTTCAACATCTATAACCCCTTCACCACAGCAAATTCGAAAAGAATCACCATGAAGTGAAATCACTGCTCAAAGGAGAAGAGTATGAGCTTCTGCGCAACACATTCTCAAGCATTATCGCAAAACCTCCCCACTTCAAACCCATTCTCTGCTCCAATTTGGTAACCAACAAGTCCGAAAACTCTTTGAAGTTCTTGCGAAAGACCATCGACGAAAAATGCACATCATGAGAAAGTAAACCTTTATTCCTGCTTACTGCAGAACCAGAATCAATCGACTTTTCAAACCCTTTTATTAAACCTGTCCTCAAAAAACTTGTAACAATAATCGACAAAATCAAATTACCTCCCTTCTGGAGTACTACTGAGCATGTTTTATCAGTATTCTATGCTAAAACCCCTAACCCCTTCAAGGAAAAAAAAACGACGGAACAGCAGACCGCATCACGGAATATCACTTTAACCGACATATCTGCATCCCCATCAAAATATATAACGAGAAAGCTTAATAAGTGAAAGACTTTAAGACCTCCAGTCATACCTTTTAACAAATCTTATTTTACGTTTAAGCATCCCATCATTACGAACAATATCAGCTAACCTGAAAAAAACTTTTGTCTGAAACAATTCTCTGAGAATAGATCATCTATTTCGAAAAATGCGTACGACTTTAATAACATTATACTTATCCTTCATCTTAACAGTTCATCATCATGACGTGGAATGCAACATATACGACTCAACCTACACTCCAACAATGCATTTTCCAAAACAGGTAAATCACACGTCAAATTCAAGCATAAATTGAAAAAAAAGGAAAATAATAATTATTATAATTATAATAATTATAATAAATAAATAAATAAATAGATAAACAACAAGACTATCCAACAACCCTAACAGCAAAAACCCATATAAACTTATGCTGTTTTTAACAGTCGGACTGCACATTTTGAAACAAATTTGGTTGTCATTTGATATATTTAGATAAACAACTACTTTTGCAGAACAGATCCAAATTAACCATTGTTTGGAACACTTACTGGTACTACACAATTTGAAAGAACCAGTGACTTGCAGACAAGCCACAGCAGGAAAGACAGTATAATATCTCATCATTCCTCACCAACTCACTTTATTTTAGACGCCGCTCTTGTGATACTTCCCCAGGGTTAGTTACATTTGAGATTGTGTTTGCAACCTCCTCTTCGCTACATTGTTGAAAATTAATCGTCGACTTTGTATCACTTCTTATTTCTCCGATGAACATTCGCAAATTGCTTTCATCAGGC